AAATGTTCGAAAGGTAACAGTGACAAACCAGGTACAATCTCGACTAGTGATGGTCTTTGTCGACTTCTTCTAGAGCTAAGCTGATAAGTTCTTCCATCGCTTGAGCATGCAGTGTTAATCCCATCGCTCCTGAGAAAGTGATGAAGTTGTCCACGTCTGAGATGGTATCAAGCATCCTTTGCAGCTGTTCTTTCATTCCCTGGGCTCTGAACGCGCGGATAAAGTAGCCATCTCTCTTCATCAGCGCCAGAGCAAGCTCCACAGTGTGCCGTCGAGTTCTAGGCAGCTCCAGGGACGCTTCATGAAAGGTTAAGTTCATGACTTTAGAGACTAGTTCTTTTCTGCCGTTCGAAAGAATTTCTGTGCTAACGGGCACTGTTGATGCAGCCAGACCAAGGAAAGCTTCCAGCTGCTTTCCATGAGCTTGTGTGATTTCTTGGAGGAGCCAAGAAGTTTCAATGGCGATTTCTAGTTGCTCGTCGTGACAGAGGTATGGCCAGATACTTCTCAATATGTTCCCTGCACAGGCACTTACATCTTGGTTGCCAGCTTTGAGAATGGCGATGAAGCTTTCGAGATCTTATAACTCGGGAGGAGTTTTTGGAGCTCTTCAGGACTAAAAGGTACTGTAGTCCTAACTTTTTCCAACTGCTCTCTACTAACGCACACAGAAAACTCCAGGAAAACTCAACGTCATCTTTCATTCCAACTACTGAACTGGATACATCGGGATGTTTGCCACTAAATCAGCGGCCTCAGGTGCCAAGAGCTCCTCTAGGACTTCACGCATCAGACGATACCAAACTTGGCCGCAAGTGGGGCAATGCGTGAGAATCTGTTGATCAGGCTGGACATGCATGCGCTCCACCGCTCTTCTCACCCTGTGCTTCCTCGTGATCCGATCTGCTGTGGGGTTGCGACGCACAGGACCAGACTGCTGACCGTCTCGCACCATCTCCAAAACGCTGTCAAAACTTCCTCCAAGCAACCGTTTTTTCCCCGGCAAGAATCCGGCCTTAACTCCCTCCTGCAGAATATTCCCTTCATATCCAGGATATCCCTGGCATCCCTCCTAATCTAGCCCTAACTTTATTCTTGGGGTTATCCCACATCCGGAATATTCCGATAACACCAATCTTCTGGAACACACCTCGTAGTACCTGCAAACTTCTCGCATCTCCGGCTCATAACTCGGAAATTTCCTGCTGCAACTCTTCGCTCACATCTTCTGGAACAAGTTAGTGGGATGACAGGTACACAGCCTCTCCAGCCTTTAAGCGCACTGTGAATTCGATGCCTTCTTGATCGTGTTCGTCTTTAAGAAATAGAGCTAGAAGGCTGTGAACTAGCCCGCCAGTTCCTGCTATGTTCTCCTTGATGCCATCATCTAATGCCAGGCTTGTGATGATGTCCACAGCTAGACCCCGGAGAACTGGATGAGCTCCACAGTGCTGAAGAACATCTCGCAAGTTCGGTAACGTAAAAACAATTTTTGTGATGTCACGTTTGAGCGCCCTCCCGTGTTCTCCTTTTGTCGACACTAGCCTTTGAAGCAGCTGGAGTGTCTTTTTGAGAATTTTCTTCTTTCTGGCCCAGTGCTTTTTCTCTGCCTTTGATCTCTATGTTTGCTACGAGAATGGAGAGTAGACCCCGAGTATTTCCTATCTGAACGCAGTTCTTGTCGTCCTTTGCCAGAGTCTTGAGCATTCTCAACCCATGCAACGTGAGTTCGCTATTGTCAAACTCCAGTTCTTCATCGCTATCTCCCTCATCCAGAAGCAAAGTTAGAATACCTTCCAGTGCTCCAGCAATTGCCATCACCCGAAAGCTGTTGCTCTTGTGGATTACAAGTTGGCATAGAATTTTCGACGCAGATCTTCTGATTTCTTTTTCCTGCCTGTTCCTCCAGGTGATCATTTCCAGAAGGCGCTCGGTGACTCCAGGTGTTGTGCCAACCGTCCGTAAGGTGTCCTCCAAGAACTGCTCCTGCGTAATCAACGTCGAGAGCATGAGAACGCCACCGAGCTGCTCGTTTCCGCTGTTGGACTGGATTTTCCCAATGCTGTAAGTTACCAGATCCAAGTTTAGTCCGACAAAAATGCTTTCTTTCAGGCATTTCGAGTAGACGTCGTAAAAGAACTGGCGAATGAAGTCCAAGAGGTCCTCGCCAAGCTGTGACTTTCTGGCTACTTTCACCAAAAGCTCCTTCATTCTGAGGTTGTACTCCAAGTAAGCTCGCTCCGCCAGGAAAATGGAGGCCTCGACGAGTGACAAGGAGTAGAAGATGTTGAGGCCGGAGCCGAGATTTGTTCGCACCTGGTTGCTGCTGCTGCTGCTGCTTCTGCTGATGACATAATCTTGCTGGATGAGGCGTGCCAGAGAGAAACCGATCGTGACAACGGCCGAGGCCAGCTGAAGGACATGGAGGATGAAACTTATGCGACGAGCTGAGAAGTAACGGTGGGAGTAAGGGACGAGAGGAACAGTGTTCCAGGACCAGGTCCTCTTGACATGAAAGCCATCGAAGTTCACTGGAGCAGGTACTCGGAGACGATACGCGTCAGAAGCAAAACTTTCATCACCTCGATCGGAGCTTTGCTTCTGCTCGCCGGGGATCACATGTATGTTGCTGAGAGCCGACCGGATCGCTAGCAGTGTGTTCGAGCTTGCCGACTTGAGCTTGGAGTGGACAGAGCCTCCCGCTGCGTGCTGCCATTCCAGCTCGTGACTTCGGCTGAAAACTCGAGTTCCTTCAGTGAGCAGCAGCGCGGAGACGACCCAGAAATCAAAAGGCTTGATATTGGTGACGAATCCACCGAGAAGAACCACCGTCGCCCACACAAAAGCTAACACTCCGAGACCTGTTGCTGCCTTTTCGAGAATCGCCAGCCTCAGTGCGACTATAGTCAGCTCTTGCTCCGGTGCCAGGATCATTGTTCTCGATGATCGTGATCCTGTTTGAGATATCTCCACCTCAGGAGGAGAAGCCATCATGGAAGATGCAAGCTACAGCCAAACTCTTCAAGCTCTAACCGGGAATATAGAGGCTTTTGCTTGGCAGGGAATGAAGTTTTGGAGTGAGAGTGCTGGTGAAGGATCGTTGTTTCACAGTCGCTTCCAACTGAAGCAAGCCAGCCAATGACGACGTGCTGAGACGTGCTACACTCGACGCAAGTAAGCGAGCTGGATTGATCAAAAAGGAAGCCGGACGTGGTTTATGCCAGGACGCTTGGGATGAACTATGAACTACGTAAGATCCTTGAAGCAGTCATCGCACGAGACAGACAACTTGGTGAGTATTTTGTTTTCTCTTTCTTCTTTTGTTTGTCGTGCTCAACACAAGTAGCAACAGCTGACACTTACATTGCGTGATGCTAAGGAGTCAAATTCTCGCTCGAAATCCTCGTTTCACTCGGCACTTGAGGGTGGTGGCTGCCGAAAGCTTTCTTGAGGCTGCTTATAAAGTCCTTTCGGCCGCGATAGATGTCAACGTGGTGAGGAGGAACCAGGCAGTAGACCACGGCAACCAGCACAGTAGCAAAGTAAGGAGCAACCCACCATAGCCAGTGTCCTCGCCAGAGCTCCTCATTGTGGCTTCCCATGACAACGGCCGGGCCGATACACCTCGCCGGATTCATCCCCGCTCCGGAGTACCCCAAGGCAAGGCCTCCGGACACGAAGACCAGCACACCAACAGCGGCAGCGATGAAAGTTGGCGCCAGGATGGCTCCAAAGACCGGAGCTCGGAACGGGTCCAGTGCCAAAGTCGCGACGATGAACATGAGGAAGAAGGTGAAGAAGGTCTCGGCGACGAAGGCCGAGCCGACTGGAAATCCCGCTCCGGCCGAGTTTCGGATGGTGCAGCCTCCCAGCGCGAACTTGTGCGCTACTTCGTGCGGGAGGACGAGCTTCATGCACAGGGAGCCGAAGATGGAGCCGATGCATTGAGCTCCCGTGTACATGACGACTCGGGAAGGGGAGACGTAGCCGAGCACCATGGCCATGAAGGTGATACAGGGATTGAGGTGGCCGCCGGAGGAGGGAGCCACCGAGAGTATGAGGAAGGAGATGACGAGGAAGTGGAGGACCGAGATGGAAGTCATGGGCGAGGCGCTTTGCTGCGAGCAGCTGACGATGATGAGGATGCTGGCGAAGACGAAGGCTCCGGTTGCCAAGCACTCGACGAGACAGGATCGCCACACCTGGAGCAAGCACGAACTTGTGTGACGGGATTTCGAGAGAGAGAGAGAGGTGGAGTGGTTTTACCTCGGCGCTGGTGAAGTCTTGGAGCTGGAGGAACTTGGAGAGGATCTGGAGGGCTGAAGCTTGTCTGGAATGGTAGTGGGGGTGCTGGCTCTCCGGAGGCTCAATCCCGTCATACACGTCCATCACTCGCTCGCCGCCGCCATAGCTCAGAGGCCTGATCCGGGAGTTTCCAACGTCTAAAGTCAGCGAAGGCGTCTTTCGAAACAAGTCGAGGAAAGATTTATATGAACAAGCAAAGCAAAGCAAAGCAAGCAAGCAAGCGGTACGCACATTTTCTTTAACTTCCTTCTCTTTTCCTTTCTCTGTTCTTGATGATCCGTCCTCCAGGGAGATTTGCCGGAGAGCCAAGCGATGGCGCGCTTAAGAAGAGCTCATCGTTGCTCGCGAGGGAGACAGAGACAACGAATGAGAAGCGCGAGCGAGAGCGAAGAAAGGTATGGAGCTCTTTAATACATTCTTGGTCGGAGAAGCTTTTCTTGTTCCAGAGTGCCAGGGATTCCAACATTTTTGAGCCAAGGGTGGAAATTTTCCAGGCCGGGGTTTGGTGTGCTGTGGTACAGGGTCACGCAAAGCACACGCGGAGGCCACAAATTCATGATCTCTTAACAAACGCGAAAAAAGCGCCAAGCCATATTTAAATTTAAATATGGAGAATATGCTGCTGATGCCCTAAAAGGATATTCTGAGAATATAGACGTCTGGATTCGAACCCCCAACGGCAAGGGCGCGTTACAAGGTTTTGAATGCGCGGCTATGGCGACGATGAGGATGGCGCTCGATGGCGCCGGCGCTGCTAGGGCCAGCGCTGCTCGATTGTCGCGGCGCCTAGCTCCAGCGGAGGTGAGCGCGTCTGGTCTAGGTTCTTTCCGCGGAGCGAACATCTCCGGCGGCAGCGCGAGGTCGGGGATGAGATTTCCGCGAGCAGGGAAGGTTTTGGAGGATTTGAGCCTCTGCCAGGTCCTGGCGGAGAAATCCGCCAGCGGCGGCAGCAGCGGGGATGACAAGGTCGAAAAGGAGGGATTTTGGAGCAGGATAAGCAGGGCTTGGAAGATCTTGTTCCCTCCAAGGCAAGCCATGTCCAATGCGCAGCTCGCCAAGCGGAGGCTCAAGATGATCCTCATCTCCGACCGCTGCTCCGTCACCGACGAGGCCAAGCGCAAGATCCTTGACAACATTGTGGGCGCTCTGGCCGACTTTGTGGAGATCGAGTCCGAGGACAAGGTCGAGCTCAACGTTTCCAGCAATTCCGAGCTTGGAACGCTCTACTATGTCACCGTACCCGTGCGAAGAGTGAGGCCAGAGTTTCAGGACTACAGCAAGGACATGGAAAGCTCATGGTGCTTGGAATCCTGTGGGTAAGTTTTGACTTTTCTTTTTCTCCCTGGACTTTTTTCACTCGGTATAGTCTGTTTCAATCCAGCTCTCCGGAGTAACGCAACGCTTCAAGGAAATGACCACTGGCCAGGTTCGTTTTTACTACAGTAAAGTTCCTCAAGAACACCTCCGCGCGCTGGATCTAAAAACGTTTTGTCTTCTCGGATGTGGTTTAGGTCCATCCCGCATCGCGTGATTCACAGAACAGTTCATTCTTCGTCGATTCGCTCGACATTGCTATTCGGTAATCTTTTCCTTTTTTCTTTTAGAAAAATAGAAAAAGTTCTTCCATATGGCGAGCAAGTTGCTCGTCCAAGCTTTGCTAATCATTCTAAGTTCCTCGATTGCCACCGCCAGCAGCAGCAGCAGCAGCAGCAGCAGCTCCACCAAAACAGATTCGAAGAGAAGATCAAGCAACCAGCTGCAGCGATCGCAGCTCCAAAACAGATCAGACAACTCGGAAGAATTCTCCAGCGCTCTTGGCTACCTCAAACAGGTCGGACGAACGATGGGCTGCTCGAGTAAGCCGATGATCTGCCTGGACAAGCGATTCAAGCCGGCGGGGCCGATTTGCTGCGGCTGGATTTGCGTGGACGTTACCAGGGACGTGAATCACTGCGGCCATTGCTTCCACCGCTGCAAGTACTCGCGCTCCTGCTGCCAAGGGAGGTGTAAGAACTTGGACCGGGACGTCCACAACTGTGGCTTTTGCGGGAGGCGCTGCCCAAAGCGCACCAAATGTGTCTTTGGTATGTGTGGCTATGGAGGCTAGTACTCTGTTCCATTTTGACCTAACCCTAGAGTATCGCTTTGACCTAAAAGACAAGTTTGCCCTAAAAAGTTTTTTCTAGGATTCTTGGCGATGGAGGAGCGATCGGCCAAATCGGCGGACGATGGCGGGCCAACAATGTAAGCGATGGATCAAATTTTTGTTGGCCATGGAAAATTTAAGCCTTTGCCGCAGATTTGACAAGATTTTGAGCAAGGAGATCAATGCCACAATCGTGTACGAAGATGACAAGGTAAAATACTTAATTCTTTGTGAGGTTACGCCTTTCCATGCTTCACAGGCACTGGCGTTTCGAGACATCGAGCCGCAAGCACCGGTTCATGTCATCCTGATACCCAAGCAGCGTGATGGACTCACTCGTCTTGCGAATGTGAGAAAATCTCCATCTCTTCTTAGGAAAAAAGAATTGGATTTTTTTTCTTCTTTTTCTAGGCCGAGAAGCGGCACCGAGACATTCTTGGGCACCTTCTCTACGTTGCCAAGAAGATCGGCGAGCAAGAGAAGCTCCAGGAAGGATATCGCGTTGTGATCAACGATGGCCCCAAAGGATGTAAGTGGAGATCTTCTCAAAGAGTTCGCTCGAGTTCTTTTGATCCAATTCTTTGTTTTCTCCTGCTGGATTGAAACGTACCAGGCCAATCGACGTACCATCTACACTTGCACATCATGGGAGGCAGGCAGATGAAATGGCCTCCGGGATAGAGCGTTTAGCCTGTGAGTTGGAACTCTAGAAAAATAAATGTCGAGAAGAATTCAAAGCTAACGAGCGAGAGAAAGCGAGTACCTTGAATCTCATGCCGCCACTGACTGGAGAAAATCGTCCAGGTAACTTTTGATCTTGGCTTTGGTGATCGCTCCTTCTCTTCGACTTTCAGAGACTATTCCACCGTTTTTAAACATGACCAAAGTTGGGAGGCCGTAAAGCTTGTATTTTTCTACCAGGCCGGGGCTCTTGTCGGTGTCAACTTTGTAGACTTCGAGCTTTCCAGCATACTCCTGAGAAGAAAAACCACAAAGTTTTCCAGTTACTTCCACTGTAATCGAGAGGAAAAAACGCAATTTTCTTTAAAAAAAAATCACTCTTTGCTCATTCGATCGAGAGAAGGAAGTGTTCTCACCTCGGATGCCCAATCCACCACGGGAGCCACGAGCTTGCAAGGTCCACACCACTCGGCCCAGAAATCCACCAGCACTGGAAGCTCCGATTTCAAAACCGCAGCCTCGAATTCGTCCTCGGTGAGATTCTTGGCCTTGCAAGAAATGCCGCAATCCTGCTTCCTCAGCCCCTGTGAGCCGCCGATTGAGGCGATTGCGCCGCGCCGGAGAGGAGAACCTAGCCGCCTCGAGAAACTCACGGAAATCCTGTGCTGCGGCGCCGGCGCCGGCTTGATCCTCGCGACTACGATCGGCGCTGATCCGCAAGCCGCGATCGAGGACGCCATTGCCAGTGTGGTGGCTGGATCACGCTAACCTAGCCCGCATTCCTGCGTAGAAGCGCTAGAACCCTATCTTTACTATTCGAATGGCCAGTAGTGGAAAGCATTTCCATTGGTCAAAATTTAGGGCTTTATGATTGAGACGATGGTGATGGCGGCGTCGATCCGCGTCGCCGATCCGCGTCGTTACCACGATCGACGAGATTGTAAGTCAAGCAATAGAGATTTCTTGAGAGTAAAGACTAGCTAGAGCTGGATCTAGCAAGTCTTTGCTCTCAAAAACAAATAAAAGACCTTTCAATCGCTCTCGCTGGAGAGAGGTCTTTTCTTTTGCCTCACTGTTAGAAGATTAAAGCCAGAGAGAAAGAACAGAGTGAGAGAATGGTTTTTAGAAAGATTAAAGCAAGAAGAGAGGAAGAACATGGTTTAGAGCTTCTAGAAAGAAGGGATTTGTCCAAAGAGAGAAAGAGAGAGAGAGATTAGAGCTAAATGGAATGGAGGTGAAAGAAAAGTCTTGGCTAGAGATTAAGACGTGAGCTCACTTTGCTCTTGGTTTTTTTTTCCAGTCGTGCACACAACTTGGTTGGCAGAAGCTCTGGAAGAAGAAAGAAAAGAAAAGGAGGTCTCTTCTCTCGAGCGATGGGTGCCTGCCAGTCCGTGCCAGGAAGGAGTGAACTCTGGGTCACGATCATACTCGCACAACTCTGGAGCTACGCGTACAGGTGAAAACCAGTTCCTTTCTTTTTTCTCATCTCTCTCTCCTTGCAGCTGACTCCATATAAATAACTCCACTCATTCTCATTCTCTTTGTAGGAACGCTCTTTTTGCAAAGAGCGATTGCAATTCGAACGAGAGAGAAGATTTAGATTTGCAGAGATGGAAAGAGCTCAGGGAAGAAGCGGTGCAGCATTGCCAGTAGCTCTCGGGATTTTGCTGCTGCTGGTGGACTCCGCCTGTGCCGCGACTTACATCGTCGGTGATAGCCAGGGATGGGACTTGAATGTCAACTACGCAGCTTGGGCTGGCAAGAAGAAATTCCAAGCTGGAGACGTTCTAAGTAAGCTTCTCTCCTCCTTTTTCTCGTTTCAAGCTAGCACAGACTTGGAGATCTCTCAAACTCTCATCTTTGTTTTTCTTCTACCAGTTTTCACGTACACTCAGATGCACAGCGTGGTGGAAGTGAGCCAGGCCGATTTTGCGACGTGCACGATCACTCCCATCAGCACTTACATGTCTGGCAACGATAGTGTGACGCTCAGCTCCACCAAGTCGAAGCAGTTCTTCATCTGTGGAACCGGAGGCCACTGCGGCAGTGGAATGGCGTTGCAAGTCGATATCTCTCCTCCTGCTGCTACTGTCCCGGCTCCAGCTCTAGCTCCAAGAGCAAAACCTCCGGCCCCCGCCGCTGCCAAATCGCCCAAGAGTTCTTCTCCAGCTCCTAAAGGTGAGAACCCCGTGTCCACTCCATCTTCGACGCCTTCGTCTCCTTCGCCATCGTCCACTTCTCCAGCAGACTCCACGGATGAAACGCCTCCTCCGGCATCTCCTCGAGGGAATTCGGCCGTCACGGCTGTAGCCGCTGCGGCTGGAGCTTGCTGGATCTCAGTCGCCATTGCCGCGCTCGCTCTCTTCTAAAGGGAGGATTTTTACGGATCATTGTGTTGGTTTTTGGCCATGTTTTTGTCTTAGATCGCGAGATCTGGAGGTCCTCCATGGGAATTTGAAGACCCAATTCAGAGAAAAAAGAAGAGAAACTAAAAAAAACCTACTTTTTACTTCTAAGCCAAAGGTTTGCTAAGACCTAAGAACGTAAGTCACGAGACCAAATGGGCTGCCACAAAGGTATGTTTTTTAGAGTCACTTAGACCAGAAAGCAAGCATTGGTTGATAGGTAGGTCGTGTAAGTTCACAAATCTGTCACCTCTTCCAAGAAAACCAATCAATCCAAACAAAAGTTTGGACAAAAAGAAAAGCTTGGAAAAAGCTTGTAGCGAGAGAGGAAATTTATGGCATGGCTCGTCAAATGGATGGAATGGTGCTTGAACTTCTTGTGTGGCTTTGGTTTTCTTCTTTCGTGGATTCTTTTCTCTTTGCTTTTTTTCTTGGGGGAGTTGTGTATGCGTGTGTATATGTCCTATGTTGGTGCTGTAGTTGTGGCTTTAGGGCTCCTCAAACTTAACACGCGGTAGCGGTGTTGGTGCTATTAGGCGCTGGCGGCGACAAGGAGGAATCGAGAAGCCCGGTAAGACGAGCTTTGCGTTCTAGTCGAAAGATGGGGAAGCCACCCGCAATCTCCACAGCCAACAACACGCGCTGTAGATTTCTCCCGGAAGAGGTAACTTAGCGGTCATCGTAGAACTTTTCCTGGTTTTTTTTTCGCTTTTTTTTTTTCCGGTTCTTAGATTGCCTTCTTCTCGATCTCGAAAGGCCGGGTGTTTTTTCTTTTTCTTTTTTTCTTTTTTTCGTTTGTTTTGCGGTTACTTTGATTGCCTGGAAGCTAGAGCGAAGTTCTTGGCATCGGCAAAGTTGGAGTGGCTTGACTTTGGAATTGCATGACCCTTTATGTGGATGGATGGTTTCTAGATTGGATCTTTTGTCAAGAGTTTTCATGGGCTTGACGACTTTGCTATTACCAGGTAGCGGAGATGGAGAAATTGTTAGTACACCACAATGGACTCACTCCATGCCGCAGCGTACAGGAAGCCCTCGCGGAAAAATTCAGGTAAAGTGGCTCCTTTTGCTCGATTCAATCGTTTTTATGCCTCCAAATCTTGCAGCAAAGGAGCTGCTCGCACGGGTCATGCTCCAGTCCGGCCAAAACAGGTGCGTAAGTCAGTTTTTCAATCTTTTCTTTCTCGAGAATTAGAAGTGAAGTACAATTCTTGCTGCAGATCTGGAACTGGTTCCAAAACCGGAGATATAAACTGTCAAAGCTGGATAAAGTCGATCAAGGAGCAGGACCATCGTCCTCTGGAAGAAGTATGATCAAATGCACGGCAGAGCAGCTCCTTGGTACGTAAAGTTTTGGTCTGCTGATTGTTCTTAGCTTCTTCTTCTTTTTGTTTTTTTTTTCCTCACAGCTCAAAGAGCAAACGGGCTTCAATTCGAGGCCATCTCCAGCAAAGATGGTGCCTGGTAAGAAACAAACTCTAGTTTTCCAGAAAACTTAAAGAAACTTGACAATGATCTTGCAAATTCTAGGTACGATATCAGATGTTTTCTTGGATATAAGCTCACCGAAACGGGACCGGTAAGCAGAAATCTCGATTTTTGTGATAAGTTGGTCGAGTTTTTCTCGTTTCCTAAACCGAGAATCCTTGTGCTTTTTTTTTGTAGGAGATTTTTATAAGATACGCTGGACTGGGTGGAGACGAGGATGAATGGGTGGAGCTCAAGTCCATTCGGAGGAGATCACTACCGTGTGAAGGATTCGAGTGTCTTGCAGTTTATCCCGGAGACAATGTTCTATGCTTCCAAGTAAGCTTCCATTTCTTTTTCTCCTTAGCAATAGGAGTTCTCTCTCGTGTGCTTGTGTTTACTCCAAAGTTTCTATTCTTCTTTTGGATGATCTATCAACCAGGAAGGCGACGAGCATGCTCTTTACTACGACGCGAGGGTGATCGACGTCCAGCGAAAGAGGCACGACTCCCGGGGGTGCCGCTGTAGATTTTGGATTCGCTACGACCACGATCAATTCGAGGCAAGCATGCTGTGTTCTCCATCGTTTTTCCAGATTCTTACGTGTTTATGTGGCCGGTTTAGGAAGTGGTGACGCTGAGGAAGGTGTGTAGAAGGCCCGAGACGGATGCTCGCTTGAAGACCCACTTCGAGAGCAGTGATGGCAGCCAGCAAAAACCACAAGAGAAGTTCGCAAACTTCGAGGACGATGAAGGCGAGCAAGAAGTTGATCAAGAACAAATCCAAGAAGAAGAAGAGGACCAGCAACAAGCAGACGAGGATTATACGAAATCGTGTGTGTCAGGTGTCGCTGGTGGCTTGTCAATCGATCTAAACGCCACGCCTCCAGTGGAAGCATTTGTTCTGCGGCAGTCTTCTGGTGGATCATTTTTGCAACCTGAGATTAGAGCATTATAAATACAACCGAAATTTTGTGTACATCAAAATGATTCCAATAATTCTTGCTATGAAATAGTATAGATTCTAAATTGTGATATTTATCATGCTTTAAAACCTGTATGAATTTGTAGAATATTCAAGTATTTTCTAATATATTCCTTAATCTTTATACTAGAACTAGTACTACTAAATTAGAGGATAGTCATACATAAGCTCGAAGCAAGCAAAGTTCGTTTTGGACAGAAACCAGATGAAACACCTCTATAGATAGGACTTTGTGCTGAAGTTTTCACAGCTAGAATGCAAATAAGTAATAGGTTTCCCAATTGGAAATATTAATTTTCATTTAGTTTGATTTCATATATTAAATGATATATTCTTAGTCTTCATATTTTTGCCTTCAAAATACTTATTATAAAATCTATCTATTTCTTTATTCAAGAGCTTTTTAAAAAGAATAATTATTAATTTGCTAAGATCGAGATTGGAAGCTATGGCATTCCCATCCGATGTTGTTTGGTGGCTGTGTCCCGGAATAACCGTCGATCCATCCACGACCTACCGTGATGTTTCGATTTGACTAAATTCCCTGTCATAGCAAAGAATTCTAGTCCAATAGGCTTAAGTCATGGCGCATTGACCGACCATGGAGTTTGTATTAGTTGGAAGATACCCACCTAGTTTCCCCTCTAGCTGATTTTCTCGTTGTATAGCCTATTCTCTTGAAACGAAATCGGGAGAAATATGGACGATCCTGATCATAAAAGTGAACATCGTTGCCACCGCTGTCTTGTCCCGGGCTCAAGCTCGCTGGGCTTCACATTGATCCCGCATGTATGGTGATTTTAGTTGCTTTTCCTTGTCCAAACTTGCAGTTCTATCATAACGCACAGGTAGTCCTTCCTACGTCGGCCCCGGCACGTCGTCCTTCCTCCACGATGGGCTTGTGGGAGTGAACGTCTCGTTACCGGGTTACCAGGATCGATCAACTTTGCAGGGTCTTCCAAGCTTTGCGGATTCAATATTCATAAAGAAAAATCTAAATTCCACTCTGGTATTGTAGTTGTCTTTCTTCTTAATTTTCAATGAATTTAAAAATAGGTTTCCCAATTGGAAATATTAATTTTCATTTAGTTTGATTTCATATATTAAATGATATATTCTTAGTCTTCATATTTTTGCCTTCAAAATACTTATTATAAAATCTATCTATTTCTTTATTCAAGAGCTTTTTAAAAAGAATAATTATTGTTCAAGCACAAAAAAATTTAAAACAATGTCATTGATATTTTATATAAGTGTCGCAAATGTGATTGCAGATATCAAAAGTTATATGTTGGTGAGTCCTTTTGGATATTTCTTCTTTATTGCATGATGGCAAAATGTTGGTATTGTTAGAATATTTATTAGTCCCTTTTGTGCTAGTGGAGTTAATTGGGCATTTTGAGTATACTTAGGCCGGAGGAACATAAAAACAAAATTACTATATACTATTAGCTAAGCATAATTAACCTGGTAAAGAGTTTCTATCTCATTATATCTTGCACTGGCTAGTGACAAGAATCCCTATATATTGAGACTAATCCCTCAATATTGTCAAATGATAACTTATTATGTTTGCTAGACATTTTTGCTATTATGCCTTTTGTGTTGGTTTCATTTGGTCCTAATGTACAGAATGTAAAGATTGTCCTAAACACAATGGTGTTGTTCTAATGTCCAAATTCACAATCTAATGCTATTCCATATTTAGTAAACTTCAAACTTGTCCTAAATACTAACTTCTGATTTCTAATACTAAAGGTAAAATCCCATTGTGGGGGGCAAGATTAATATTAACCTATCATTGGTTACCATAAGTTATTTCATATATCATGGGTAAAAATAAACTTTTCTTGGGTTTACTAATGAGTGGCAAATAGACTAGTCTGTAGCTATTTAGCATAACACTAGTGGATAAATCAAAATTGTAAGGATTAATCTATTGGTTCAAATAATCATTATTGTACTCTTTCATACACTTTATTTAGACTGAACTGAAGGCATTGTTTTTTTTGCTTAGAGCCATTACAAGCCTTGCTCCAGATATGGTCATATAATCCCTCTAGTTTCTTGTGCGAAAGACAGGGGCAAGGGTGGGGGCATTATAGGGGGTTCTAAATATATAGTAGAGATAATTGGTAGGTTGAGCATGATTAACCAACTTGAGGCATAGTCTACTTTTCATTTGCATACTTGTCCTTGTTTTGTGTTTGACTTAGGTGTAAGCCCAAATTCTATTCCATGCTAGTTGGTGGAGTATTTATATCCTCGCATTAGGCCATCGGTATACTTTATTTGGCTCCGTTTTGTTTGTTAGTCCTAGCATTAATATGTTAGAAGCTCTAAAATTGTTCTAAATTGCTTCATACTCCTATTCTTCACTTCTTGGGCTGAATGCTTATAAGTTATTTCGTGCTCTGGTTCTTACATTCTTTGGTTGTAAGTTTAGGAGTTTGGTTTTATTCCTTCATTTAGTGGCCCAAGGCCTTGAAACTTAGATTCTATTTCATTGTCCTTGAACACATAGCATGTGGCATGTAGCATGTGATATGTGGCATATAGAGGGTTTAAGTTTTGTTTCGTGAAATCATCTTAGGATAAATAGTGAAAACCACATATGCTACATTTAGTATCAAAGGATAAATCTTAGCAAGTATTATCTAATGAGATTGAGTAATTAATTTTATTGTATACACAGAGATGAAGACAATGATTCGAATGGGTACACATTTGGGCGTTATAATTTCGCATTCGTTTTTAGGGTATGGATTTTTAATTACCTTCTTGTATCATATTATATAAGCTTATACTTGAGTTCATAAGACGGATTGAGATGTATCATTTGTATGAGTTTGCATTTGCAATTTAACAACTTAGGTTACACTTTGAGTTGGTAGAATTAATATTAATATATCATTGGTTACCATGAGTTATTCTATATACCATGGGTAAAAATAAACTTTTATTAGGTTTACTGCAAATAGGCTAATCAATAATACACTAGTGGATAAATCAAGATTATAGAGATAAATTTATTGGTTTAAATAGTCATTACCATGCTCTTACTTTATTTAGATTGAACTGAAAGCATTGCTTTGTTTGCTTTGAGCCATTACAAGCTTTGCTCCAGACGTGGTCATGTAATCCCTCCAGTTTCTTGTGAAAGACGAGCAAGGCACATCAAAGGTCTTTGTCACAGCTTTTACAAGTGCAAGTGCATTGGCTTTGCAAGTGCACAGCATGCTCATAGAGGAGAAATTACAAACTGGACCAGACACTAGACATCGATCCTTACGACCCATGACAGCTCAAGGGCACCACGAACACAGACGTGCTGGACTCGGATGGTCATGAGAGCTGGGCAGTTCTACCCCATGGAAACTGCAGGACGAGGTGCTGGGATGGAAAGTTTGGGCTCCCAAGGATGGCGATGGCGTTCCAAGCTTGGAGGAGCTTGAGAAAGCTGCCACGGCGATGTGAGATCTTGGCAATCGTCAGCTAGAGCGCTGCTCCAGCCATCCGTGCTGGAGAGTTTTTGTGCGAGTTTGCTTGGATAAGAGGAAGACGATCAGTACACGGTGGTGGCGAAGCATCTCATTGTTTTCTGCACCGGGAACTCAGAGTTTTTTCGCGGATTTTTGGCTGATGCCATCAGCTGGAGGCAAGTTTGCGAGGGTGGTGAAGGATGTTGTCGGCCGTCGCCCAGGAGCGGATGTTTGTGTTTCGAGCCTGGAACGTGAGCTCATTCCAGGGATCAAGTGTTCCTTGAGGATCCAACCAAGCCTCATGTCTTTCAAGCGGCTCGACTAAACACCTTCACAGAAGCACACGGCAGCGCAAATGTGCCGGAAAGCAAAGCTCGAGCCAACGTCTTTTGGACGCTGAGAAAAAGAAGCCAAACAGTTTTACAGCATACCCGAGCTCCACCTGAAAAACAACCAAGCAAAGCCTTCTGAGAAAAAGTATGCTGAGCAAAAGAAGTTCCTGAGAAAATGATGATCCGTATCACCAAAATTTAAAAACAGATTTACTATAACTTTAATTAGGGAGATAGTATTAATTACAGGTTTAAGGGTGATTTAAGCTAAACTACCTGGCACAAATCTTTTGCCAGCAGTAGGAGTTCAAGGTGGTAGTGTGGTCCTTGGAGGGCAACGTCTACACCTTCGCTCGGGGCCTAGGCGAAATGGGGCCGAGCCAACACACTGAGACTTGTCCAAAACAAGTTGGTTTGTATGGATTCAAAGTATCGCGGGTTTCTTGAGTTTGATGTCGCAAGCAACACGATCACGTACAAGGATCTCAGTCTCCATCTCATGGACAGTATGAGAAAGCTCTAAATGGTGTCGTTGAGTGGCATAACGCAGGTGTACACAGGTAGTTAAGGAGATTTGTGCCAAGACAAGATTTGCGATTGCATCTCAGCTCTTCAACGTTCTTTTTTCTCATGTTATATAGAACATATGATTGGTTGATAAAATATGTGATCGCTCTGTGAAATACACTACATGTTTTAATCCTTTGGTGCTATATCATTTAGAGATTAAAACATAGTTAATGGCATTTAAACAGAAATGGCCATTCTTCAAAGTTCTTTTTTCTCATGTTATTAGTTTTTTGCTTGGTTTTCTTTTTTCACAGTCTTCCTGTCACGACAATCCCAAAACCTTCCCACTTTCAATGTCCAAATCAATGTCGTAGAAGCACGGCCTGGTCGGCAAGCCAGGCATGGTGCTCATGGCCCCAACCAGCGGGTATATAAAACCGGCACCCACGCTCGCGCGCACGTCTCGGATGGGCAGCGTGAATCCCTTTGGAACTCCCTTGAGCGATGGATCGTGCGAGAACGAGTACTGCGTCTTCGCCATGCAAATGGGAAGTTGCGAGAAGCCTTGTCTCGTGTAGAGCTCGATCTTTGCTTCTGCCTGTGAGCAACGATCGGGACGAGCAAATGAGAAGAAGATCGAGAAGCAAATGGAGAGCTTACTTCTGACTCGTACTCCACATTGTCGGCACCGTAGAACTTCGCAATCGCCTCGATCTTCTCCTTGATGCTCAGCTCCAGCGGGTACAGGAACTTTAGAGGCGCGCTGTGTCGTTCGCAGGCTCTTTGCACAGCATACCCGAGCTCCACCTGGTAGAAAACGAAAAAACCAACCAAGCAAAGCTTAAACCATGGAAACAACTGAAACCAAACTTACAGCTCCCTCGCCACCACTCGCGTAGTGCGTGCACAGAACCGCGTCGAAGGCACCCGCGTCCAAAGCGATCGACTTCACCGCGGCAAGCTCGGCTTCGGTGTCAGTGGCGAACACGTTGATCCCGACCACCACGTTGACACCGTAAGATCTCGTGTTCTCGATGTGCTTCACCAGATTGGAGCACCCCGCTCGAACCAGCTCCAAGTTCTCACTTTTGTAGGCCGCATCAAGAGGCTTGCCAGCAACAACGGCTGGACCTCCACCATGCATCTTGAGAGCTCGGACAGTCGCCACAATGACCGCGCACTGAGGTCTCAGCCCGCTGTATCTACACTTGATATCCATGAACTTCTCACACCCGATATCAGCTCCAAAGCCTGCCTCAGTTATCACAAAGCCTTCCGGACCAACGAGCTTGAGAGCAATCTGGTCGGCAACGATGGACGAGTTCCCGTGAGCAATGTTGGCAAACGGTCCGGCGTGAACGAAGACTGGAGTTCCCTCCAGCGTTTGCATCAGAGTTGGATGGATCGCGTCCTTCATGAGAACTGTCAATGCCCCTCCGACTCCCAGATCGTCAGCCGTGACGGGATCGCCGGCTTTGCTCGATCCGATCACCATCTTTCCCAGTCTGGAACGCATGTCCGCCAGCGAAGTTGTCAATGCGAGGACCGCCATGATCTCACTGGCCACGGAGATGTCGAAGCCAGTCTCTCTGGTCATCCCCTTCTCCTCCGGCCCCTGTCCAACCGTGATCTTCCTAAGAAACCTGTCGTTCACGTCCATCACTCTCTTCCAGGTGATAGTGGCGGGATCAATGTCCAGTCTCGCGAACTTCTTCGTCTCTTCTGCCGTGAGCTGGTTTGGATCCGTCTTCTCGATGCCGAGCTTCTTCAAGCGAGTGTACATCACCTTCGCAAAGCTTCTCTTCCCTTCCTTGTCCGCGGGACACAGCCTGTTGAACAGAGCCTTGTCCGACTGGGTGTTCTCGTGGAACATCCGAGCGTCGATGGCGGCCGCAAGTAGATTGTTGGCTGCGGTGATCGCGTGTATGTCGCCAGTGAGATGGAGATTAAACTCCTCCATCGGAATCACTTGACTGTATCCTCCTCCGGCAGCTCCACCTTTGATCCCAAACGTCGGGCCTTGGCTTGGTTGGCGTAGGCAAGCCACAACCTGGATAGAACCAAGTATACTTAGCGAGCAATCGTGAACTTTACTACGACTGACTGGAGCTTTGCGAGCTTTAAGAGCCAAGTTCTAGCCAGAGAACTTCGAGAAGTTACATCAGTTCTAGCCAGAGAACTTTGACAATAGATGAAAAAGTTCTAGCCAGAGAACTTTGACAATCAGAGAGCTTTGACAAAGAAAGAATTTAGAGCAGGATGATAGCAAAAACAATAAACAACGTATTCCAGCACGATGGAATCCATGTAAATGCAGAGGAAATTCACGACGAAATATCGCAAACAGTGTTTGCGATAGAAAGCAAGCCAAAGGAGGACTCTAGATCACTCACTCTAGATCCTACAGTAGAGGAGGAAAGAGCTCACCTTCTTTCCGAGATGAGCCCCCATGGCTTGCCCGAGCCCAACAGTGGTGGTCGATTTGCCCTCTCCCAGCGGCGTCGGCGTAATCCCGGCCACCACGACGTAGAATCCATCGGGATGGTTCTTGAGGCGATCCCGGACGGGCAAGAGCACCTGGCGAGAGCACAAAGAAAGCAAAAGAAATCACCAAAACCGCGCGCTGGATCGATCGATCGATCGAATGTAGAGCCGTGGCGAGGGAGTGATTGAGAGAGGGAGAGAGGGGCTTGCCTTGGCCTTGGAGGGGCCGTAGAGCTGGAACTCGTGGGGCGACAAACCTAAGTCCTGCGCGATGGAGGCAATGGGCAGCGGATCGACCGACTGCGCAATGTCGATGTCCGCCGGCACCGGATTAACGATCTCGAGCTTGCGCGGCGAAGACGAGGTCGGTGGCGCCATTCTCGAGCACTCCTCCGCTGGAGAGCTTTGCTGCTGCTCACCATATCCGCCGTCTACTGGAATCCGTCTGAGCATATGCTCGCGCACGGGCGGAATATGCCACCCCCGGCTATCGCTGTCGGTATATGCCCCACCGGAGGAATATTCTGTTAGGCGGAATATTTTGGGTTTGCACTGCCAGAATATACGGGTGGATCTAGGGTTCTTCCGGATGGCTATGGCTTCTTGATGCGATGGTGATCAACAGCAGGAGTGGATCGCATCAGGTGCTCCTACGGCAGCTCCAGCAGGGCATTCACACTGTCGATCAAGAGGAGGAGGAGGAGGAAGAGGAGGAGAATCCGGAAGAGGAGAATCTAGAGGAAGAGGAAGAAGCAGCAGCGCAGATTTCCACTCCAGCCCCAAATGTAGCCGCGGGAGGAGGAGGAGGAGAGGAGGAGGAGGAAGAGGAGGAGGATTTGTTTGGCCAGATCGCTTGCGCGAACCCGGAGCTCCTCCAGCAGTCGCCGATCCAGGTGAGGGGCAGCAGCCAGGGTTTGGGGCGGGACGATTGGGGCGATGGCGCGACGCTGGCGCTGCTCCAGGCGTGGGGGGACAAGTGCGTGGCGCTCAACAAGTGGCATTTGCGGCTGGATCACTGGGCGGAGCTGGCGGCGGCGGTGACGATCCGGAGCCACAGCCCCAAGACGGACGTCCAGTGCAAGAATCGCGTGGACACGCTCAAGAAGAAATTCAAGCAGGAGCGGCAGAAGCAGAGCTCGTTGGGATCGCCCAGCAAGTGGCCGTTCTATCGAATCCTTGACAGGCTTCTCGGGATGGCCAGCAACGCCAAGAACTCCACCGCCACCACCACCACCACTCCTCGCTCGTCCCTCCCGATCGGGGCCGATGCTGGGAACATCGTCAAGAACTCCGGCAAGGAATCCAAGCCCAGGCCGTCCAAGCGGCAGCACTATCATCCCAGCAGCAGCGAAGAAGAGGAGGAAGAAGAAGGAAATGACGATGATCTTGACGAAGACCTCCAAGATCACGAAGAACAGGAAGATCTATTGTGGGTCTTAAACTTCAAGACGAAGAAGCGCGGAGGTGGCAATGCCGCGAAGAAGAAGAAGAAGAGGAAGATGGGATCGCCATCTTCGTCCTCGTCTTCCTCGTCGCCGCTCGCCGGTGCCATCGCCAAGCTGGGCGAGATCTTCGAGCGCATGGAGGAGTGCAAGCGGCAGCAGCTGGTGGATCTGGAGAAGATCCGGATGCAATTCACCAAAGATCTGGAGCTCCATCGAATGCAGCTGCTCATGCAAGCGCAGATGGAGCTCGCCAAGATCAAGCACAGCGTGGACATCCAGTGAGAAGCTGACACGTGACGAGAGGATATTCTAGGGAATTTTTGCTGGTATTTAAAAGATTCGCCTCTTTTGTTTTTAGTAGCAGCGCAAAGCAAAGCATAGCAAAGCATAGCAAAGCAAATGTTCTTCGTGGCTTCAACCGGAAGTTTGCTCGCTTCCACCGTCTCTCTCGCGATCACTGTTCTTGCGGTGTTCGCGGCGATCGTCTCGGCGGGTATCCAGCACAATGTGGGCGACAAGGCCGGATGGAAGCTGCCCTCTCTCGCCAAGATCAACTACACGGACTGGGCCTCGCAATACAGCTTCCAAGTCGAAGACACGCTGCGTAAGTCCTCTATCCAGTGCTTCTCGGAGAAATGCTCGTCAAGTTTGCTGCTAGAATCCCCTGCCCTCTATCCGTAGTTCTCCTCGAAGTCAATCCCACCAAGTCGAAGGCACGCTGCCTATATCTTCTTCTCTTTCTCGCGGAAATGCTCGCAAAGATTCCTGCTAGAATCCACTGGCTTAAGTTCCTCTTCGTTATCGAAGCACTCAATCCTGTTTGCGACTGCTGCTTTTCCCAATAGCTCCTCTTTCTCTTCTCTCATGGATGGCTGGCTGCTGGCAGACTTCCGCTATGATCAAGGCACCGAGAGCGTGTTGCAAGTGAGCCTCGCAGACTACGTCTCCTGCTCCAATTCCAAACCCCTGGCAACGTATGACGACGGAGATACGGTGGTCTACCTGCTGAGAGACGGCTGGTACTGGTTCATCTCTGGAGTTCCCAGCCACTGCAACTTGGGACAAAAGTTCTCCATCCGCGTCCAGCCTTTGAGCCACGGTTCTTATCAAGACCGTGCTCCATCGGCTGCCGAGCCTTCCACTGCCACTGCCCAAGGATTCTCCGGCGGCTCCCGAAGAGAGAACCCTGTCGCGATTCCAGTCTCTGCATTGCCATCCTCATCGGCTGGCTTCGCGACTCCAGTATTCCCTGCTCTTGTCTACGTTCTTCCCATAGTCCTTGTCGCGTAGTAGTAAACAGCCTTAGAACTTGTGCGTCCTCCTCCCACGAAATCCAAAGAGCAAAATCCTCCCTTTGTCTGTTCCTTCGTTGCCAAGCCAAGTTGGTGGTCTCTGGTAGTCCAAGTATCCTGCCCCGGTCAAAGTCCAGAGTCCCTTGGTTGTAGTAGCAGAAAGGACCTATGCTTGTTGAAGAGCTCGAGAACTTTTCCACGTTGTATGCGTAGCCAGTACCTATTACAAAATCATTGTCCAAATTGCATGAAGTAATAAAGGAAAAGACATCTCAAACCTGCGCCACTTGCACGACCACGGGCCCGTGCTGCAGAAGAACCTCACCACCACAGTGACGCCATCGATGATTACATACGTGGAGCTTTCCTTCATAACGACGTGAACGCGTCCTGTTCCGTTCGGTTCCCTGACGTTCCCCGACGAGAGAAAGATTCCCACACTGTAAACTTTGATCGGAGCTCGTCGAGTTCACTGTCGTCTGATAGAATGTCGAAGAGCCGATCAACTACTGCCCTGTTCCTCTGTCCCATCAGCTTCATTGTGATGGCGAACCTCGAGCACTTGGAAATCGACTCTAGAATCTTAACCACAGCCGACACACCACCCGGCCCCTGTGTCTCACCCAATGCATCTAGCAAAGTTCCCAAAACCCCGGTAAGGATATCTGGAGGAATCTCCACTCTGAAAATCCTTGGAAAGGGTCCAACGTTTGCCAGGAACTCTAGCCTCTTGTCTGGAGGTTCCGTGGATAGACTTCTCCAGCCTTTTCGAAAGGCATCTTGCGTCATAGGCCCCACGGTTCTGGCGGCAGTGGGTGGTACATCTGCATTACCCGTGCCTCGCACAAAACTTTTCAGCTTTTCCAGAGACTCAAGGACATCGCGCTTCGACAAGATGGGAGCTTCCGTGCCTGCTTGAGATCTAACGTCGTCGGCCTTCAGCAAACTTCCAGAAGAACTGAACGACCAAGCTGGAGCAGTTCTTTTAGTATCCGCTCTGGGTTCCGCCAGCCTCTTTCGATCAACTGGTTGTAAGTGAGCAGCAGAGACCTGCATAAAGAATGAGTAAGTATAGAAAAATTTAATGCGTTTTCTTACCATGGCTGCGAACGTAGGATAATCGACATTTTGAGCTGCAGCACGTTTCTTAGCAGCATCCACCTGACGCCGGTATTTGTCATCTTCAATAGAGGTACTCAACGTCTTGCTGTGCTTCAAGCTCTTAACATCATCCCACAAACTTTCTGTCATACCGGAAAAATCCAATACCTAACAAGAAAACTACCTGAAGAACGGTCCCGATCACCCAAACAGATGTTTTATTGCATCAAACATCACTCCTCTACATATCGTGCAGTCTTATTCCACGCTATACAAGTCAGCTTAGGTTTTACCAACACCACCCCGTCCGCTAAACAAGAGAAAACGTCAGTACGAAACAAAAAAAGTAATATGCAATACCTGCAAACTTCGTTCCTTTAATTGTTCAAAACTAGTATGCAGCTCCTCTTGCTTGATTTGCATGCTGCGAAGGCTCTGGAAATACATACAATCATAAGCTAATCATCATTTTTAAAAAATCAGTACCTCCTTTGTCTCAGCCAGTTCATCCTCGAGCGCCTTGATCCGTTCAGCCGCTTCAACAGAGATGATTCTCTTCAGCTTCTCGTTTTGCTCAAGTAGCTCCCTCACAAGCCCTTCAAGCTTCTCTACACGGTCCTTGATCCCACTAGAGACCATTTGCTCCACTACAGCAGGTGGTTGCAAATTATGGACGACACGCGAGCTTGAACCAACGCCGCCAGTAAGCATCTCCTGTTTTCTTTTGCAAATTTCTCGAGCAATGATCACAACACTCATGAAAAATGCCAAAATTGCTGCAAGGTAATTCGCAAAAGCACCCGGGTGGAGCTTGGAAATATCTGCATTGCCTGAAGCCAGTATCAGTATTGCCAAAAAGTTGCAAACTTCAAACTTAAACCTCTTGCATGAATGCTGGCGCTGTAGCCGTTCGAGTCCGTTTTCTTCACGTAGACGCTAGCAATGTTGTCAACAGCCTTATCGACCATTGGTACCATCTCATTACCAAGGACCAAGTCCGGGTTGTCCAAAAGTCTAGCACCGCCATAGACCTGTAAGAGCACGTCAGTGTCGCGTGAAGAACATTAGCTACCTCACCTCTTCAGACACGGAGTTCAGCCTCACGAAACCTGGTCTCGTTCTGACAGAGAAGTCATCCACGTCCGAGCCAGATTCTGCAGTTGAAACATCCAGCTCTCGGACCTGGATCATAATCAATCAAAATCGGCCTCCAAAACGGAGAAAGATATAGTTATACCTTAATTTCTGTTCCACCGGAATCTATAGTCACAATTTGTCTTGCAAACTTCGCTTTTCCATCCATAACAGCCTGAAGAGCAGACTAGGATCAGCCTAGTTCAAAAGACAACAACTAACAATGACGATACCTTCAAAATGGATGGGTCTTTCCACGGTCCTCTATCAGAGCACATGCAGCCACCTTCCACGAGACAATTGCAGGTCCCGCCAAGAAATTCTGGCAGCTCGCTGTTGAAACCAAATCAGTCAAAAACCCTCTAGCATGACATGCAACATATACATACTTTGCATCAATAACCTCGAGGAGTCTGCTTTGAAACTTGTTTCCTAAGACCTGCAAAGAAAGTATAAGAAATTAAGAAACGTATGCGTAACGAAAGAATTACTTACTGTGATCTTTGAGGTAGTTTTAGGATCCAGAAAGCTTCGGACAGTATTCCACAGCAATCTAAACCCAGATCCGGCGTTCACGATATACATTCTGTGTAGAGTCTGTGTGCAGAAATTGTACAAGATTGAGAAAAAATCAGAAATCGTTTTAAGATTTACCTCAGGATAATTGTCGCCGTCAATTTTTTGCATCCTGATTATCAGCTCTCGTGCAGTCTTATTGAAGTTTTTGAGACCCTGCAAAAGAACATTAGCATTATGTCGTAATTATAAGTGATGTAATCTCTTACCACACCAGCCACATCCAGAATCGTAGTGGTAGAATCTATGTGCCGTTTTGCCGCAATCGAACAAGCAGGGAACTTCTTGTTGATGGTTCTCTCGAACTCACATATATGGTACTTCAAATATCTATCGATGGTTGTGACGTTCATGAGCTTATTCGGTTCCACCTTGCCAAGACGCTCGATGTAAACAGGCCTTCCTTCTTTGTCCACGCCGTGATTACCATGGGGGTAATACTTCTTCACCTCTTCTAGTTCCTCGAATGCAAAAGACTGCAAAAAAGGACCTACATTTTACGAAACGAGGGACAAAACTTCAGCATACCTCTTCAATAGTGTCTACGTCGTTGTCTTTCCTCCATTGCAGCATCTCGATCCACATGTTCTTGGCCTTGTCATGATCAAACTTCCGAGCCTTCAAAAATCTAGAGCCAGCAAAAGCAACTGTATGGATAACAGGGAGAGAGAAAAAAAGAAAAGAGTATAGCACATACCTCAGCAGCGTATGGTAATCGTCATGCCTGTCTGGAAGGAGATTCTCAGCTAGCAAAACCTGTCTAAAAGCATCCACGGCCTTTTGCTCCTCGGCGTCCCACACGTCCTCGATCAGCGATCTCTTTCTCCGTCTCTTCCTCCGGAACGATGACCTCAGCTTCTTGGACGCAATGATAGCCTTGAAAGACGCGATCTTGTTCTTCCCCTTTCGATCTTCCTCCGAGTCCTTCTCAAAATCGTCTTGATTCGCCGCGTTGGACGAGAGGCAGTCTAGCAATCAACCGCATTTACCCGTGAGATCCACAGCAAGGGATGAACCAAATGATTACCTATATGCACTAGGCTCGATAGCGCTCGGTCGGCTCTCCAAGATCCTCGCTCTGTCTTCCATGCCGATTCTCGCGCCTTGGACGATGATCTAGGAAGCGCCGAGGTGCTCACAGCCGTCTCCATTCCCCCTAGGGTTTTGTGACAGCTCAGATCTACTACTTAGAATGCAAATCCAGCTCCCGCTGCAAGAGTCTAAGCTCCCGACACGAGATTTCCATAGATTGCTGCCAGAGCCCCCTAGAATCACCTGACTAGCGCCAAGCCGCTGGCTTATTCGCCTGCTAACAGGAGAGATTTAGGGTTCTTGCCTCCCGCCGCTAAAGGGATTCGAACCGCCGCATTGGCCAGCTAAAATTCGCTGTGAACGAGCACAAAGCGACGTGACACCATGATTGGAGGATAATTGGAAAGAAAAGTAAAAAACAAGCCTTTACCGCGTGGACGGCTGCTGTAAAGTTCCTCCCATGAAGAGCGTTGTCTCGAGATTCTTACCATAGTTTTGTTCTTTTGATAACAAAGAAAATCCTTTAAATCATTCACGTGGAAGCCCACCAAAGTTCCAGTTTTTTCTATCACACAGTACGAGATTAACAGTGAGCAAGTTGGCTCCCACTTCCGTGTTCTTGGGGATCCCGCTCATCCATTTCGCGAGATTATTTTCTCTTCTTCGTCCATCACTTTCTTCTTCTTCCCGTGGATCGATCGATCCTCTCCGCGCGTAGAAAATTCCAAGAGTGGCCAACAGCAAGCTCCAGCAAAGTTCCAACAATCACGATTCTATCGTCAAGCTTCCACAGGGCTAACGTAGACCCTGTCCCCCAAACACACAGCACGGAACTCCCACTCTTTGTAGGCTAGCTAGAAGTAGAAGACTTAAAACACTAGACAAACAATCCAAGCTCTCTCTACTCATGCGTGATCTCTCACTTGGTCTCTAATCATCACGAAGAAACTTTTAGAGAGTACTTTGATGCTTCTCTTCGATCCGGAGAGCAAAGTCGCGGACTCTCTTTTTTTTTCCTTGGTTTGATCACTCGCTGGCTATGATTTGAAAGAACTATATAGTACATGCTTTGTGTTTGCTTTGCTATATAGCTTACAACAGCATCAAACTCGGCTCTTTTTGCCTCGTATCTTTCTCTTCTTCTTCTTCTTCCTTGTATTGTGTGTGTGTGTGGTTTTTTTCCCTCTTTTTGTTTGCTTCGATTCTTCGAAAGTGAAAGAAAAGAGAGGAGGGTTTCCACTCCTTTGAGTAGAGACCCTGCTTTCGCGCTTTCGTTTGCATCGAGATGTTGCTGGGAAAAATGGTGTGCTCGGTTTTGGTGTCCATCGGTATCCCATCTTGGAAAGTGTTAGCTGTTCTTGGGAAGCGTCTGGCCGGAGAGAAAAGTTTGGAAGAGTAGCAACGCTCGCGCGGGTTGAGCGTAAGGAACCATATGCGCTGCTCCTCGTATCGTCGCGTACGTCAGATTTCCATAAACTTGCGTCCATCCGGCAACCTGGATTTGGAGAGGTTTTAGCCAGAGCTCAAATGATTTTGTCTAAACTATCTACATAGCCAGTGAACTTTTCACATCTTGAGCTCGTACTAAGCCTAGAGCTAAGATAAAAAAGAGAAACAAAGTACCTGGCCTCCCAAGTACCAGGCAGTGTATGGGACTGTAGCTGGAAGATTGAGACTTTTGCCAAGCCCATTGATTATTGTCCGGGTTCCAGTCAATGGCACGACAGAGTCCTGATCACCACTGCAAGAATCGCAAGCGAGTGACTGAGCAGCTGAGAAAGGAAATTAAAAAAAAGTAGAAAACATGGTGGACTTTCACGAGATGAAACGAGAACACACGCGAACGAAGAAAGAAGTTCAAGAAAAATGGAAAGAAAGCTTTCTTACCTGAAAACCCAGACACGAAGGCCGGTTTTGACGATGTTTTGGAGCAAGGGAACAATGTCGATGCTACCATCCTGGAGATAGTATTGGACGGGCCTGAAAGGTTTCGAGAAAATTTTTGATAAGTTAGTGATCGAGCAAGAGAACTTTCGAGAGAAAACTCGAGAGAACTTAAGAAACAGCGTAGTTACCCGTCACACATTGTCCATTTGTAGTTGAGTCCTGTAACGTTGGCATGAAGAGCTTGCTGTACTCTGTAGTCATTGAGATAGAGGTCTCTTTCGTCATCAATGCAAACATCAACTCCATAGCTCTTCTGAGTGATCTGCTTGGCAGAACCAAAAAAAAAACAACAAAAAACACGGCGAGCAATTAAATGAGTAAGATCACAGATGCCAGATGCGGATCACCTGGAGATCACGGCAAGCGAGCAATGAATCAAACGCGCAAAGAAGAAAAAAAAAGAACGAAAAAGAACAGCATCAAGCTCCAGGAATTCTCTAGCTTACTACTCACGTGTTGCTTCAGCCTGAGCTCCTGGAGGAACAGCGACGGAAGGCACACGTCGAGGATCACGTCGTAGTTATTGATGAAATCGCCCACCTCGTCGTCGGACTTGCCCATGATCACGTCGCACTGGTTGGAAACGTTGTGCTGCTTCTCGGCCCCGAGCTCGTAATCCTCGAAGTTGCAAGCTCCCTTGACGGCGGCGAAAGTATCATCGGAGATCAACCCGTGTGACCAAAAGTACTCGTACATGGCAGCGGTGTCTATCCCGAGATTGAGCAAAGGATTCCCGATCTACACCACCACCACAAAGTTTGCAAAGAAGATCCATCAAGAAAAGTGGAAACGAAGAACACCACTTACTGCAATGCCTTTCAACCGGAGTTCTTCCTGGCGATTGCGCTCATTGTGTCCAAGAATGACGGAAGCCAATTGTGGGACATAGTGTCCTGGACGAGGAGAAAAACCAAAAAAAAAAGGAAGGAGATGGTTAATACGGAATTTGGAGCCAAATACGAAAAAAGTATGATCAGACCTGCGTAGCTCTCGCCAGTGATGTAGAGGTCGGAACTTCTAAACTCTGGAAACTTTCTGAACCATCCCAGCAAGAACAGGAGCGTATCTTGAGCTGTAAAGCCACGCATTCCCAGAAAGCAAAGCTCAGTGACACTGGAAACGATGAAAAACCACTGCACGCTCTCGTCGTTCCGACCAAAACAAGCCAAGGAAAAAGAAAAGAGACCAAGAACAGGAGATAAAGAGGAAGAAAACAAAGATGGAGAAGGAGGCCAGAGACGAAAAGCATTTGTCCGGAGAAGAGAGGAAGGAAAAGATCATTGAATCATACCAGTTTTCTCATCGGTAACGTTGTCATAGTCGGAGCTGGTGTTGGAATACGACCATCCAACTCCAGCGGGCGAATCCAAGAACAAGAGATTGGAAACTAGAAAAGGAAGAAACCCACGTTTTAGAGATCTTCTCGATCGGGGAGAAAGCAAAAGCGAGATCATGGAAGAATTTAATCGGACCTTTGTTCCAGGACTGTGGATTTCTCAGCAGTCCAGTGCCGGAAGCATTTGGATAGAATGGTCCCAGCTCCGTAAACGCACCGCATCCAATCGACGAGCATCCGGGACCTTTTTTTTTTTTGGTGCCAGACAAGAACTCTGTGTGAGTGACACTACTGGAAAAAAGAAGCACGCACTAGGAGATCACAGTACCTCCATTGAGCCAAAGCGTGAGAGGCTTGGACTGTGGAGCACCGCCTTCCACCTCCACGAAATAGTAGAACAATGCTCGCCCCGCGGATGGATCCACCGTCACGTAGCCCGCGTACTGCCGGAATCGGACGCGCGGCTGGCCGGGGAGATTCGTGACGAGATCGCTGAGCGGGGCAGCCGCGGCAATGCAGCAGTGGAGGAGGAGAATGGCGAGAATCGCAGGTAGCGAGCAGCCCATGGCCAAGGATTAGACGCGGAAACACTCGAGGATCGAGGTGGGACGAAGCCGTGAGTCTGGATTGGAATGGTGGGTCAATTCTCTCGAATCTGGGCGATGGCGAGAGGAGCGCGCGGCGAGAGAGCGGCGAAGAGGGTGCCCGGAACGCGCGTGCGATCTCGCAATTGGCGAGCGGTTCGTGAGCAATTTGTGTCGGAAGCTAGAAATGGGGCTTTGGCGCTTTCAAGGGATCCAAGACCAAAACGACAATGAGGAAGAACAAGCGTGGGCGAGAGAAGGCGATAAGAAGAATCGAAGAAGACGAAGATAGTCAAAATCGCGAAGAAGAGAGAAGATCAAGCAAGAGAATGAGAATTTCTTTGTCAAAGTGGAATGGAAGACCAAATGATTCGTCCCATGTCTAGAAATACCAGCAGCGTAGCGCAAGAGAGAAGGAAAGAATTCAACTCAAGGTTAAAAAAAAAATGCTTGGAATATCAATCGAACGCTTCCAAGCAATCCCACGATTCACGGAGTGGGATCGAAAACTACCTTTCCAGTTTTTACTATACTATCAGCGTTGCGAGAGGTAAAAAGAAGATTGTTGTGGGGCGTTCAAGGATTGACTTGCTCTGTTTTATTGGACCTGGGCCGAGTAAATACGCTTGTTTTCTCTTACCCCGCTCTGTTTTTACGTGCTCGGCTGACCATGGCGGTGTCAACAGATAGAATGGTGACCTGGTGCGGTAAAAAATTAAATAAAAATTCGCCAACCAAGGACATTAAATGCAATGCGCAGTTGGCCGATTATCGCGCTAATCAGGTGGTCACACCTAATCCCCTTTAACCATCGCTTTATCCTAATATCATAAAACCCTAGATAAAAGTCCGTCCAATTGGGAAGTAGATATCGATGATGAGACATATCATGTGGAGGTACTCTTTGCTCCTGAGAGAGTGCGCCAAATAAAAACCTTGGAGCTCGAAAAAAGAGAGGGAATTAATGCTTAAAAAACAAGAACAAACAAATCAAAAGAGAGTTCTAGTCTATGTAGACGACGAACGAATGGAACCCTATATCTTACCTCCTCCTGCATGGGCGTTGTGGCCTAGATTACGTGCAGCGCATTGCCTGCCACCCTCTGGAACCCTATTTTGTTTTTCTTAAATATCAGAACGCTGCAAAGCCTACTGGTTGATTCTGGGACAACGACCACCCTCTCAAATTCAAACAAAAAGACCCAAACGTTGTTGCGTTGCTACTTAAATCTCCGCACAAATCAATCCCAATCGCCATCTCTCTGATCGCTCCCCACTGTCTCTCCCTGCTCGCTGGAAATCACTGCGCACAAGCAAACAAAAGACACCCCAGGAAAAATGCTAGGGTTCCAGCCCGGTCAAACCCAACGTTGAAGGGATTGACTTGACCGTCAAAGTGCATGCATTCGTCCTTGCTACTTGTTACCTGGAGCATTGAATTGGACGAAACGAAATCG